GTGACGTCAGCAAAGGGTCAAAGGTTGTCTGAAGTCGATATCGCCCCCCGTCCCGGTTGAGCGATGGTTGAAGTGCCCTGATGTATATGGCCTGCTTTGCCTCTCTTGAAGTAATCCTCTTCGGTATCCAAGATTCAACCGGGACGGGGGGCGATATCAAATTCAGACAACCTTTGACCCTTTACTGACGTGACACGTGGGAAAAATCACGTGTCCACAGCATTTGGGTCAGATAGCTGAGGAACACTGAGTGATTCAGTCGAAAATTCCGGTGAGTCAAATTTATGAGTTGGAGAACAGTTTAAAATTCTCATAACGTAATTTACCAATTCAAATGAACTTTCATGCTGCTGTATGTCCTTCATGTTTTCCCAGTTGACGGCCTGTGTGAGGACCTGCCGGCTGGGCCTGTGACCGTGGCTCTGAACGTCGGCGCGTGCGCAGAACCACGCGGAACCCCGGACGCCTACACCGGGTGGAACTCCCACTCAAGGATCATCATCGAGGAAGTCGACATTTCAACTGAAAATTAAACTAAAATATCAGCTTGCCTGTTGCTATTGGTCAATGATGCAGTGAAAAGACATGTGATGCAGATTCAAAACATTCTATTGTATTTAGTCTCCTAACAGATGCAAGACCCTGGTTTTACGCTTGCTTTTTTTAAATCTTGTATTCTAACATTAAATCATAACAATACATAGTGTTGACGCACTCAAGCGAAATAGTTTATACAGTTACCACTGGACATAAAATGATAATCACAATAGAAGCCAAAAGTATGCATATGGAATGTGAACGTCTGGTATAGAGGAACAGAATAAGACTGATAATATGTTATCTGTAAATAGTTTGAATCAGTGATGAGTTTCAGATAAGTATAACTGTGTGATAGCGAGAATTTCTTTCTTTATCTCTTTATTTCAGGCATGGCTCGCCCATATACAACATACAGATAGAAATACACATAATAACAATGGTAAAATATGTCTATAAGTACAGACGGGCCCGGATATTGCGGAAGAATCTGTCGAGGAATACTACATCGGATTTAAAAACAGATTGGATAATTTGTTTGAGGACTTGTACAGACGGGATATAAAAGAATAACATTGTTTGTGCCATGTAGCGTCAAATGTGTCAGTCCTATTTTAAACAAAAGTTTTACTGGCACTGCAAAATCTGGGTGATGACTTTGTAATGCGAACACAGCTGTTGTAGGTAACTCGAAACTTGATTTGAGTGTAGACTTCAAATAACAGTAAAAGTGATCCTTTAAGTAACGGAAATACAGATAAATTGTTAATTGTAAAATTGAAATATTCAAATTTACAAGTCTTTCGAGTAGGCGTGTACACCGTTAAGCATAGATATGATACGCCTGTTTCGCGAAATGCTAGTAACGTTACGTCTTTCCTTTGTATTTGTGTTTCCATGATGTATAAATGGCGGTGGGACAACTTGAGTCCACCGTAACCTTTCCTGAATGATGTCAATCTTTATGGATGGGGTTCTCATTGATAAATAATGTTCAGTATTGCATTATTACATCTCACTCCCCTTCACTACTTTTAAAGGCAACAATGATTTCATCGATTGCTTGGAGAAGAATTTTATCACCAATCACTGAAGTATTACATAGAATGTGTTCCATTGCCACTGATTTAATTTCTGGTTTACTGAACATGTCAGGGGTTTGAGTGAGGAAGTCAAGAAGCAGTGATCCTGTCTTAGAATCTTCCTTAAGACACTCGGTAATGTCAATGATGATTTCATCCTCCGACGTGACGTAACTGATTGTCATTGCGTCAAGCCACTGTTTGACGTCACTAGAATGACGAAGTGACGTTTTGAGATGGTCATCCTGGACAAATGTCTCCGCTAGCTGGCGCTGCAGGTTCCCCATATTACTTCTGTCTGTGGATATGTAACAGGGTGATGATGTTTACTTTTCAACGTCCACGTGAGCTCTTCCCAATCTAGGCCGCACTGATTTAATTTTATGGACGACATCCGTGCGCGCATTGACTTTCGCCTGCTCTCATAAAAAATCCATGTCAGCGGTTAGTTCTGTAACAACCTGTTTGAACAGTCAACATAGTATAACAATTTACGTTGCATGTGACAGTGCCGTTCTCAGTACAGTTAAAAACTTATTCTTCGATGTAGAATGTTTCATTACGTCTTTTAGAATGTAGTTACAGTAACTGTTGTATAGTGGATAGCTAAGTCTAGTACCAGGTAGTAACATCCTCCGAATAAATTTGAATCTAATAAATAATTATTATAAGAATGTCCATACCTGACATGGTGGTAAACTTGTGTGGCACTTAGCTGAACTTTGCCCTGGTTTCCTGCACTTTAAACTCCTTAATTTGGCTTCTAGCCAACATATATAGAGAAGGGAAGGTGTTAAACACGGCCTTTATTACCTAACTTCAGAACGCCTTTATGGATTGTGATGACATTTCGTATGTTGGTAGGTCTAAGGGAGCCAAAGGTAAAGGTCAAGTCTGGGCTTCCTGTCAGCTGACCTTGGTACTGCAGCATAACTTCTGGTTTGTGTATCTTTTGTCCTGAACATGCTGTGTTCTTGAATTTTTTTTAAGGCTGGTAGCTTTTCCTGTCACGAACAAGTGATGCGGGTTTAGTCCCCCTAGCAGCTTGTTCTATAACTACAAAATAGTTTCGTCGAAAGCTTTCAAAGCGGATAAATCATGGGAGGAATAACGAATTTTCATGGTTTTTGGCACGTAGGCAGAGATGTACACAATAATGGACAAATTATGTAAATGAGGACTTAATTTACATAATTGATGAGGGAATTTCTAAAAAGGATTTTGATACGAGTATTGTGTAATCTTTGACAAATGAAACAATAACTGATACTAATTATGAACATTAGGACCATATGGACTTAGAACATTACGACTCTGATGCCTGCGGCTTGATTGATTGATTGATTGATTGATTGATTGACCCTATTTGACCGAGAGCAAGAGAAAATAAGCAGTCATGAAACATTTCTTTTTGCGATGGTAGATAGGATGTGTAAATATTGCTCCTCTTGCAGTGCGAGATGAAACTAGTTTTAATTGTTATCGGAAACCAAATATTTACCATTGTGCTCATAGTGCTTCCTTACTTCCCCACTATTCCCTGCCACGAAAAACAATTTTACCTCTAAAATCAATGAACCCAAATATTATAGAAGTGGATAATTCGTCTTCCGCAGCCTCAAAAGAAGAAGTCAAACCCAGCAAAACTAGTACCACACATGTTGTAGGATGTAGTATTATTCTAGACGTAGTCTCTTATATCATTGTATTTTCTTTCATACATATGTTTGTACCTGCAATTAGCCGACAGAAATGTATTTGCAATAAACCTCACATACATCTTTCCTATCATCAGGAGGAACCCGTTGTTATCCCCCAGCGTTCCCCCAACACGGGTTTGTACGGCTGATGACTACGGGCTTCCTGCCGTTTGACGCGCTGGACCAGATGGGGGCTCAGGCCATCTACGGGTGTATCGGAGACTACGTGCTGATCGGGGCGATGACGAGGGTGTGCATGGGGAGCGGGAGATGGAGCGGCGACGAGCCGGTCTGCTACGGACCTGTTTCTGGTCAGTTGTAACTTTTTGGCGACGCCGTAGGGGCGAGCCAAATAGTATCCAATATACTAGTATACTAGCAATCAGTCTGCAAGAATTCTAGTAACTATATGCGAAATATCCGTAATGTACTAGCATGGGGAATGGGAGATAAGTGGCGACGAGCCGGTCTACTACGGACCTGCTTCCGATCAGTTGGGACTTTTTGGCGACGCCGGAGGGGCGAGGCAAATAGTATAGTATTAACCAGTCTGCAAAAGATCTAGGAACTGTGCGAAATATCCGTAACGTACTAGCATGGGGAGTGGGAGATGGAGCGGCGACGAGCCGGTCTACTACGGACCTGTTTCCGGAGGGGCGAGCCAAATAGTATACTATATATACCTTTCTGAAATACATAATTTTGAAGTTCGTCGATCGATTACAAAGATGAGAATTTCTAGCCATAAATTAAATATAGAATTAGGAAGATACAAAAAAAATCCCTCGCGACCAGACGTTTTTCCATTGTGTCCCAATGATATTGAAGACGAACAACATTTTATTTTGAATTGTACACTATATAACGATAAACGCGCAAAGCTATTCAACCTTCTCTCCGCCTGCTCAACAGAATTTGTTACATTTCATGCTATAAATAAATTCAATTTCATCCTAGAAGGAAATAACCCTTACTGTGTACAAATAGGTAAATATATCAAAGAATGTTTAGACCTTAGAACAAGTAGTATTAGTTGACCTATCTATTGTTTTGTGCGTAGGATAATTTCGTTGTACCCATGTCATGATTTGTCTGTATATCTACATGTCTTAGACCTTACGAAAGTCGCTGTACTTTTGTTGTGTCAATAAAGTTCTCTATATACTAATAATAGGTCTGCAAGAATTCTAGGACCTATGCAGGAATATTCGTAACGTACTAGCATGGGAAGCGAGTTTACTTAATTTACTAATATTAGGGTATGGTGCAGGTTCTCATGTGAATGCATACATTTATATACGAACTATACATTTGTTGTGACCTGTACTATGTACAGTAAATGTCTTCACTCATTCCTTGATATTGATGAAATGTCCATGTTGCAGATGCCGACTGGTATGGTGTCTGTGGGCCTGTGCCAGCCTTGTCCCACGCGCAGCACCATGCCGATAACGTCACGGTGGGCAGCGCGGCGCAGTACGTGTGTGACGAGGGTTACTATCATCTCGGGCACGTCACAACCGTCAGCTGTCAGCTCAACGGGGAATGGAGCGCCCCTCAGACAGCATGCAAACGTAAGGCACTTGTAATTCGATTAGTACAGAAGGGTAGGCGTAAATTTACCTGATGAATAGATGGAGCTAAGTTGTTGCGGCGCGTGGAAATAAAAAAAAATCGGGCGCGAGTGGGCTAAGCGTTCTTGGTCCGGTGTCACAGCAATCTCCCCCCTCCCCCGATGATTTGGCACTACCCGTGTCGATATCTCTAGAGATTTCCCCCCTCCCCCTCGCTAGAGATTTGTCCCCCCCCCCAACCTCACCCCCTTTAGTGATTTCGCCCCCCAAAGGAATTAGTTATTTCCTCAAAAACTTCCGTTTTAGCATGTCCAGGTACACACATTCGTCAATATGTGTAATGTTCTTGTGATCTCTTTATCATATATAAGTAATGATTTTGAAGTATCAACAGATTTCATGTTAAAATGCACATTGATTGTAATAAATCTGCATCTAAACCATACTGTCTACGTTTCTCACCAGGTGTGTTGTGTGAAAGTCTGTCGGCACCGCTGCATGGACAGTTACACGGCTTGGACTTCCGCTACGGCACTGAGATTCTCCACACATGTGATGACGGCTACTTCCTGGTGGGGGCAGCGAGCCGCACTTGTCAGGCGGACGGGGCGTGGAGCGGGGCGCCCCCGCAGTGCCAGGGTAGGCGTTCCGATGGTTCTCTTTTTCTTACTCGGGTGACAGACAACACAGGCGTACTCAAGTTGACAAACTTATGTTACCGCAACCGCTGAACAATTATATACAATCGAGAGAAATAAGGATAAGAATAGTCCTTTATATTCTCTTTTTCATACATATTGTTACCTTCGCCAAGAAGGTTATGTTTTCAGAGGCGTTCGTGTATGTGTGTGTGTGTGTGTGTGTGTGTGTCTGTCAACACGATAACTTAAGAAGGCTTAAATGGACTGACTTCATATTTGGTAGGTGGGTAGGTCTTGATGAGACCTCAAAATGATTAGATTTTGGGCCACCTGGCGGCTTGTCATGGTACTACAGCAGAACTTCCGGTTTTGATATCTCATGATCTAGACATGCTAGGGTGACGAAATTTAGATGGTAGATAGCTCTTGTGCTGGGGATGAAGTGACATGAGTATGAGCCCCCTAGTTGCTTGCTCTAGAACTGCAGGGGGGCTTAAAGGACAAATGTTTAAAAGAGGATAACTCAAGAACCGATTGATGGATCATCGTGATTTTTGGAATGTAGGTAGCTTAAGTGTTGCTTGACATAATGATATTACAATTATGCAAATATTGATGTAATTTGCATAATTAATGAGGAAATTCTATAAATCAGCTGCATTCCTTGATAGGAAGTTCAAGCTTGTAACATATGTTATTAAGAACGAGAGAAACACAGGCAAATATCGATTATGCAAATGAAGACTTAATTTGCATAATTAATGAGAAAATGTTATAATTGCATAGTGGTAACTGCCTGGAATTTCATACTTGGGGTGTTTGAAAGTTAAGTGAAGGTGAACATAATTTAACATAACTTATTCAAATAAGGACCACATTTGCATAATTTATGAGAAAATGGCATTCTTTGTTAAGATAAGACTGTCTTTTGGTGGAGAATATGATCAACAGACTGATATAATTCATGCAATTGAGGATCCTATTTGCATAATCAGGGTGATTAGTATATTTCTTATTCATAAAGGCTAACATCATTTGGCGAAGGTATGAGATCGTGGAACTCTAGTTTGTATTTGCAATTAGCCCTCGGACATGTACTTGTGATAAAATCTTTATGTTATAACCCTGTTTGTCGCCCAATGGTCAATGTAGGTACATGTAAGCAGGAGCAGGAGTCTATACCGGCTGTGTAAAAAGACAACCCTAACATCCTATATATTTTTCACTAACCACATGAAATCATTTTCTGAAATTGTGTTAAAAAGCTGTAGACTGCGGACAGCCGCCGGCTATACCACACGGTCACTGGCTGGGAGACAACTTCACGTACAGCCACGCGGTGGAGTTCTACTGTGAGGAGGGATTCGCGCTGGTGGACGGGACAGCAGACAGCAGCTGTGGCAGTGACGGGAGGTGGAGCGGACAGCACCCCAGGTGTAAAGGTGTGAGACACTAGATCTTCTAGCCTGTTTGGAGCCTGCGCTGTTGTTATAATTCAGTTATTGGTACATTGATCATGTGATCATTTTCATGTATTAATTATGCAAATGAGGACTTGATTTGCATAATTAATGAGGAAATGCTATAATTACAGTGTTTTACATTATAGTACTTTCATACATGTAATGTATGTAACCTGTGGCAGATGGAACATCAACAGATACTAATTATACAAATGATGACCTAATTTGTATAATTAATGCGACAATTCTATGATGTTTTAATGGTGAATGATGGAAATGTCATACTTGGGACATCTGTAAGTTAATCAAAAGTTAAGATCACGATGCATATATTATGTTAATGCAGAGGTCATTTGCATAATTAAAGAAGAAATTTTGATTGACATATTAAGCCAATATTTCATGGAGGTATGATGTCTCGTAACTCATGTTTTAAATGTTAACTTAGGTTGATTTTCTTAAAGTAATGTTGGAATGTTCTACAACACTGATCGACATTCATGTTTTCCCGTAGCTGTGGACTGTGGAGACCCGGGGTTCCCCCCTCACAGTACCCGCAGAATGGACGGTTCCGGCGGGACAGGTTACAACACTACCGTGTCCTACAGCTGTGAGGAGGGGTACCAGCTGTTCGGTTCTGCCACAAGGACCTGTACTATGGAGGGTGTCTGGGACGGACAGCATCCAGAATGTCACAGTAAGTACCGCTGGCCGTCGATAGAAAATTTGTCATTTAAATTTAATTAATATCATCTAGTTTAGGAAGTACATATTGTGAGGTCGTGTGGCGTAGCGGTGGACTGCTCAACTCGGAACCAAGAGGTCCCGGGTTCGAGTCCTGACATGCAACCGATCTTGTGCTCTTGGGAAAGGCACACGACTTTCTTCACTTCGCTCAGGTGAAAATGAGTATTATATTGTCCCCTGTGTTGGTGGCGGCATTGATATAAGTTGAAAGAAGCTTGAGTGTGCCGTCACCACGTCTTGTAATTATTTGTTCGAATATTGAAAAAAAAGAGTACATTTTGCCGTCAGGCGCTTTCAAAGACTCCAACTGGTTCTAGCTATTTATGGTTGGTACCGCAAAATAAAGGGACGCACCACGTAGCTTGGTTTTTGGCCACTCAAAAAACGATTTGATGAGATAATTCTGAAAATGTGCTAAGAAATGACAGTAAGAAATGTCAATATCAGAAAGATTTCCTCATCCAGAATCTTTCTTTTTGTTCTGCCATTTTTTAATGCCTTTTGCCTAGAATCCTGTGAAGGCTGGCCTCCAGTGGTGGCCAACGCCGAGAGAGAATTGCCGGAGAAGGCTGTTCACCTGGCGACAGTGACGTACATCTGTGAGAAGAACTACCGGATGGAGGGGCCGGACAAGGTGCGATGTCTGAACGGCGTGTGGCAGACCAGACTGCCCGTGTGCGTGACGACAGCGTGTACCGTCAACCAGAACTCACCTTGTGCGAACGGTAAGGTTTTACTCTAACACCTTCATATTGTCTTTAGTTTTTATTTCGATACCCTTTAGCCAAAATTCAGGTTTCGTACAAAGATAAACTACATACATACAACAGATAACATGGTAAGAAATACACATTTTGAACAAAAAGTAATTTACATTATATACACATGAAAGGAACATAATATACATACTAATCACACGCCTTACTTAGTATGAAAGTTCATCAGTGTTGGTACAAGTCATTATGAAATAAGGACTAAACTTAAACTGCCAACACTGTAATAAATTGGAACTTACCCCAAATTTTTGGCTAACTCCGTCAACCTTGTACAGGCTTTACTTGTAAGTGCGTATTTGCAGAAAGTATTACCGAATTGTAGAAAACATTGACAATATTGCGGAACACTGAAAAAAGGATTTCTACCATTGATTCTCCCGATTTTTTTTCAAAATGTCACACTCTTTATTACAGAGTTTCCGTACAGTCACGTGCATAAAGTCAAGGTGTGGCCGACAGTAGCCATCAGCCAGGTGGTGTGGGCTCGGCAGGGTCAGGATCTCCAGCTAGACTGTATCAACACCTTACCCAGCTACTACGACCCGCGGTGGAAGATGTCGGGCAGAGCGACCATCCGGCACACACAGAGGCGGGTTGGACAGACGCTGTGGCAGCGACTGTACATGACAGCCTTACGGACAGACGACACGGGACTGTACCTCTGTGAGACATTCGATGGATCCAGTAACGCAATCTATGTCAACGTTCAGGGTGAGTACATGGTGAGGGTTTTCAGGCGAATCGTTCTCCAATGTGGTCTAGTAGTCAGCGACTTTACCTCTGGACCAAGAGCTCATGGTCGGGAGTTTGAATCCCTGCGCTGTTGTCGCTCATGCCCGGCATATACGCTACTGTAAACGGTCGCAGTACCCAGGGACCGGACATTAAGCCGTGGTCCACTGTTCTTTGTGCTTGTCGAAGAGAGCTAGTAGTGTGCGTAGTCCAGTGGTTAGCGATCCTGCCTCTGGACTAAGAGGTTGGGAGTTCGAATCCCGGCTGTTGTCGCTCACCCGACATGCACGCTTCTGCTCAGGGTCGCAGTCCTTAGGACGGGACGTTAAGCCGTGGTCCACTGTTCATTGCGCTTGTCAAAAAGAGCTAGGGGAATTTCCCCGGTACAATGAACCTGTAAATACTGTACATAGTGTCTGTCTTCTCTGTCACGACCAGTGGAAGATTAGCTCTTCAATGAGCTAAACTGGTCCGAGATCACTTTCACTTTAGCTAGGGGAATTTCCCCGGTATAATAAGCCTGTAAATACTGTAACTTTAGTTTTCGTCTTCTTTGTCAATACCACTGGGGGATTAACACCCCAGTGAGCTAAAACTGGATTGAGAGGAGGAAGTTCCACACTGAAAGCTTCTTTTTCTCGAACACGCTTCCTTGTGAATGCTTTCCTAATGGGTACAAGTGGAAGGTGAACAAACATCTGTCTTCACAGCCCATTACTGTAACACAAAACATGTGAGTGGTTCCTGTATGAGCCTTGTTTTGTGGTGTAAATTGAACTAAAAATCACAAACTGGGTAAGAAATGTTATCTTGAAAGTTAATCTGTATTGGTAGACCTCTGTACACTTGAAGAAGCCACACAGGCGAAACCGGTCGTGTGACAGGCTGAATAAAAGTTCTAAACGGGAACTATGCGGCTCCAGATGTCTTACTGAGGGACGACTGCGTGTGCGAGATGTCGGTAGCTTGAGGAATGAATCCCCTCTACTATATACTGTATTGGTAGACGTCATTATGTCGTAAGTTTAAACTGTCCTAATACAAGAAATTGGACTCACTAAAATTTCCGACTGTACAGCCCCAGTACCAGTCTTTGTCAAGGAATGAGCAATCTACTGTTTCCGCGACCCGTGACGTTACGTTAGGGGGTTAAAGACACCATTTATATCCGGGCATTGCAGCCTTCACTCAAGAAAGACGGGAGGCGTCACAGACTTTCACTGATCTGCTGACTGAGTCACGTGTGCCATCTGCATTACTTGACGTCATGGAAACGACTTTTTTTTTCATTTCTTGACAAAGACTGGAGTTGTACAGTCGAAAATTTGGGTAAGTCCAATCCTTTATGTTGGAAATTACAGTTTACGGCACAATAGATTATGGATTATTGATGCTATATTGTATTTTCCAGTGACCTGTCCCGTGTTAGACGTACAGGAGCACGCCACATCGAGTGGAAGCGACCATCGGAATGGTGACGTTGTTTCTTTCTCCTGCGAAGAAGGATATTTTCTCACAGGACCGGTCAGCATAGAATGTCAACATGGCGCCTGGTCAGCCCAGCCTCCTACCTGCGTTAAAAGTGAGAACTTTTATAAAGCCAACTAAGGCCATGTTGATTTGATTATATGGATGACATCCTCGGAGAATAAAAAAGAAACATTTGGCAAAAATAACTTCATTATGAAATTTACGTGGTCATGAAGGTTGAACAAAAGTATGACTAAACATACAGGGTATGATGTGGCAAATAATAGGCTCTTCATTTATATTTCTTTGTTTTTATTGTTTAATTTTCTTTGGATTTTGGCATTCTATGGCATTAGTTTCTATTCTCAATTCTTACCCACCACGGCATAAATTTTCTCATTTTGTAGCTACTTTGTACGATTTACAGTATGGTCGAAAACGTATTTTTTTGGAAACCCACGAAGTGCATACAGTTGTCCTCCAGTAAGACATCTGGATTTGAATATTTTTCGTTAAGGAAATTGTTGCTCAAACAACTTTTGAAATAAATTTTAAAAACGAAATAAGGATGGGAAAAGTTTTAAACGGGAACTATGCTGATCCAGATGTCTTATTGGGGTGCGACTGCGTGATGGTATATAAACCACTATATACTGTTGGCTTCGTAACACTTTTAAGTCACAGTAACAAGGACTAGAAACAGTCAAGCCTTCAAATATCAGAGTTATCAACCAAGAAATGTTCAAAAACTCATATTTCCAAGAACTATGATAATCGTAGAGTTGAACTCGCTAAAGCGAAGTACAGTTGGGGCATCATCATTAGAATGCTTTAAACAAGTACAGTTAGACGTGCAAAGATTGGGTGTACCTGGTCGTTCGCTGTAATATAGCTAGCTGCCACCGCGTCGCGTACTTGCGAAGCTAATGTGTTACGCCGGCGTGCGGCTATACCGGCTATACAGATACAGACAAAACTTTCCTTGCAGAGACATGTGAGGGGAGTCGTCTTCAGGACCCGGCTGATGGCTACAGCACCGTCCAGGAGCTGCGAGCATCGGACACGTTAGTCCAGACGTTCTACTGCGACGTCGGGTACGAGCTGCACGGGACCGGACAGATCACCTGTGCCGAGGGGAACTGGTACGGGGGCGCCCCCGTCTGCCTACCTCGTGAGTTTAGCGCTCTAGTCATTAGGCCACAACTAAATTTTATGAATGGCATCATACACAGACCCTAAATCTAATGCAATAGGGCGAAAAAAAAACAAGGCGGACCAAAAAAACAAGCTTCCTACAATGTCCAATTTTGACATTATAAACCTCGTTAAACAAGAAATAATTATACCTATATCCTGCTATGTTTACTGCCAACTATTACAAAATTCATTCCTCACTGAAACAACTTTGAAAAATAAAAGCATTCAATCATTGTACAAATTGTTTCCATTCAGTAGGAACATCACATATACAGGCACCGTCACAGACAAAACAGTCAATCAGAGCCTTGTCTTGTCTTGTCCCCTATCTTCATATTTATCTGCCATCCACGTTCCGGCATGTCAACAGACATCTTTGCCCATTTTTGGCATGTTGACCACTGTCAGAGGGCAACAAAATTTCTTGTTTTTCCCCAAATCAGGCGAAAATAATGCGCGCGCTGATGTCATCCATAAAAATTACTTGCTGTGGCCTTAGGATGGTGTCCATGGTTACCTTGATGATGTATGTTATATTGAGAATAACTCACACATACAGGAGGAACCTTACTGAACGCCTACATTGCTCTGTGCTCAACACAAGGTAACATTAAAATACTACAACATGCTATCAAAACCAGTATTATTTTTATTATATTCCTTTGCTTTAGACATAACGCATTCAACAGTTATGGAATTGCAATCGTTTTGACAGTTAATATGAATGTGCCAAATCATATCTTTTCATATTTGTTTGTCACCATTTCATACTTGGAGCGTTTGAAATATCCCTTATCCAAGCTACGAGAGGCGTCTCTTTATTTTTCAGTACCGCCCATAAATAGCTAGAGCTAGCTTCGGATACTGAAGCAGCCGTTCTAATTTCTGCCAGCGACATAGACATTTTGATTTACAGATATCAGGATGTTTAAAGTTAAAACATTTGGTCCAACACAAAACATTCTCTCACCTAGAGCTTTCGACCAGTCACACTGGTCTTCCTCAGTTGGCTGACCCAGTGAAGCTTGTCACCTGGCTTCTTGGAAGTGTGTCGGACCAAAAGTTTTAAATTCTAACATGTAACTACCGACACAGATGAACTTTCATGATAGATATCAGGATGTTATGTGATAGGACTGACTGAACTTTTAACGTTAAAAGAATGTAAACTAGAAAGGCCGACATTTGCTTTGGAGCAAATACAGCAATGGCTTCACCACATTTTACGACATGGCAGGGAAAGAATGAGGAACACAAGGGAAAACAATGCTTTACATTGATATAACTATAGTATGAAGTAACATACAACTAAGACTACAACAGTTGGATAGCTATTCCCTACATTATTGGTTAGGATTTTTAATTGCATAATGCAAACTGTTGATTTTCAAGAAAAAAAAGAAGCGTTCATGCCCCGCATTCCAATGCTGGAGCAGGAAAGCTTAAAATGCCTACCAAAACACTTGAACACAGACCTGCTGTCAGTATGGAATGGATCTGAGCAGGTATTAATTAAGTTAAGCCTGTTAAATTCCAACAGCCAATCAGCAAGGAGAATAGAGGAAAGCTGCATGCCTATTGGTTGATCCCCTGCATTCCATTGTGATGACTCATGCCCAAATGTGGTAACACTGCACACTAACTCAGTAATACATTTGCTATAACACAGCCAAAAAACTCAAATAAAACCATTCTAAAAGCCTGTATCACAATAATTTAAAAAACGCCTAGGGGTATTTGCCCACTGTACCTCCATACCAAATTTCAGGACCTTGGGCCCTAAAATGAAGAAGCTGAATCCATTTAAAAAATGGCAGGAGAAGAAGGAGGAGGAGAAGGAGGAGAAGAAACATCAGAAAAAGCAATATGGGTTCACCACCACTTCGTGGTGTGGTGAACCCATAACAAAATTGACTTTGAAAATCCAGTCTTGCCTCCCTGGAGTTGTATTGGATGCCTTTAAAAGTTGCCTTGTTGACCACAGGACTGGACAAGATGACACTGCGGACAGACCTGAGTATTGTCCGGAGGACGGTGCAGGTGAGGGAAGGTACGGAGAACGTGTCTGTGGAGTGCAGAATGACGCAGGAAGCGGCAGTCAGTAACACATCGGCCGGACCCTTCACTATAGACGGCAGGGAGGTGAGAAATGTTTGAAAGTATATATGTTTTAACTATTGGCCACTAGACCTGACAATATTTGAAATGATAAGGTTTTCAGTATGTTTGTTTGTTTGTTTGTTTGTTTTTATTAGATCTCCATTAGTGTTCAACTGACCACTATTCTTCCTGGAGTCCACATAAAATTCAAAATTATAACAACAGAAATGTACAGAATTCAACACAATATTAACATAAATTGAATAATTTAAAGTAATTAACATAATTAAGTAACATAAGCTGATTATATGAATATCAAGATAACACCGGTTTGTGTACTTGAATCATATGGTACTCGTACGACTAATTTGAGCAAGAAACGATGGTTACTTTCCGTTTCTTACTTGAGTTGAAACAAATCTTTTTTCTTGCTTTGCAAACTTCTAGCAAACCGTGATCGAGGCTAGGAGTCACATAAAATATTAGTTATATTTAGCCTGTCAATGTGCACCCTTTTTTAATGTGTACTATTCTTTGATTGGCCAAGTTTTCTACTCGCAAGCGCTTCTCTGACTAGCCTGCCTATCATCCGTCTTGTTACGGGAATCCTTTTGACTCCATCAGGCCAGATACCAGGTGTGTGACGTCATCGGTATGGTAAAGGGCTACCATCTCTAACGCATTTGCAATGTGGAACATTGTTTCTTTTCTGCCCAAGTTGGAATGGTTTAAACCTTAATTAGTTTCCTAAAGACTTTATGAAGGTACACATAATAACGTATTGATGAGACATTAGCTGGCGCATTTCAGTTTCAAGAAATTCCAAATGAATTATAAGTTATTTTTCAAGGCATGGCGGCGGCGCTCCTGTGTGTGAGTATATGTGTATGTGTTTGAGCACGATAACTTAAAGGCATCCGATGCAGTTTATATGGCTTGGAAACCAGATTTTTCAAAGTCAATAGTCTAGTCACTTATCTACATACTGAGTTCAAACCACATTGTCGCAATGTATATTGACCCTCATGGAGCAAAGATACCCCAAATACCGGCAGAAAACGGTTACTGGAAGGGCCTTGTGTGATTTTTACGGTACCACCCTTAAAATAAAGGACTTATCTTAGGGGCTTAAGCTTGTTTCTGCAGTTTAAATACCCAAAGTACGATATACTGATTAAAATGTGCTAATGTGAAGCAGTATTAGTAGTCATCGGTGACCCCTTGAGAATTAACCCAATTCTGCAGAATTCTGGCTCCAGCTCCCAGAATTTAATTCTGCAGAATTGGGTTAGTTCTCAAGGGGTCACCGATGACTACTACGTATTTCTTACATCATTTGTACCTATATCGTAGAATATTAGCCCATCTAGACGTAAGGTTACTGAGATATGGGAATTAGTCCGGAATTAAACTGGACACTGTTAGTAGCAAACTTGTAACATAGCTCATGTCGTCTCTTGCTAAGAGATATGAGTGACATTTGATTCAGTGCTGTACTGTAGCTAACAAAGTTTTGAACAAGAATTATGCGACAAGCTCCATTTTGGATACATTATTCTAGACGTAATGAGATGACAATCAGATGAAAATCTGGATATGATCTGCATAATTAATGCGAGACTTCTATAATTCTACATTTTATTAGTTATGGCTGTATTAAGTCTGGGATAACAACCTTTTATATACTAGTGTTCCCATCATAATATGTTGAAAAAATTGTCCTCAAGAGTTCTAAACATACAGCGATGCAGGTGATGACTTTTAATGTAAACCTCACGGTCAAACTGATTTAAAATAAGACAAAATCACATCAAAATATCACAAACACTGCAAGCGGCTTACAATGTATGGTTCACAAGCAGATACACGCAAAAAACACAATGCGTGACGTTATGGAGCTGGTCGGAGTTTCATCTCTGCGCGCTTCAGGGAGTAGTTATAACCCTTCCAGTCGTACCAGTTGACTCCGTCGGCGTGACTCTCATGAGTACCCAGGTGGTACAGGCCGTTAAGGTTGGAGCGGTGGCAACTTTCGTACCACCACGCACCTTTGTAGTTCTGAGCACAGCTGGACGGGTTATCTCTGTCCTTGGTACTGAATGGTTTCCCGTCATGCACCGTCAAGCTGTCTCCTGTGACAAAGATATTTTCATTTACTCTCCATAACAAGACAAGGTATTCTTTTTGTTGATGGACGTTGGCAGCAGATATTCCTTTCACGATATTGAATCGGTTTGATGGTGTCTTCTTTTAGCATCCCGTCTTTAAACAAGATTTTTATACTCAAAATGGAAAAAATATCTATAAACATTTTACGGTTTAGATTCAGTTGGAAAAGGTATCTAGTTACCGTTTAGATAGAATATATCTTAGCATTGAGATAATACACAAACAAGCAAAACAAAACCTACGATGCCATACTACAAGCGATAACCTCACCTGCAGTACCGCTGTAAGTCCCTATGTGGAGCTTGTAGTTCTGTGATTCAGGTGAGATGGCAAACGTGTCGTAAGCGGCGTACCGCGTCTCTCCCTCCACATCCTCCATATCCACCCTGAGCTGGTAGACTTTCTGCACAGCCAGGCGGTACAAGTTGTCATTCCCCAGCCAGAACTCGCCGTTCAGGTTGGAAGGGAAGCCGGTCTTGTAGTCCTCCCAGCCCCGGTAGAAGTCCACGGTTCCGTCCTGGCGTCTCTGGAACAACTACAAAGAGAAGAAATTAAAATGCAGATGGGCCAGTACCAAATCTTTTTCAGATAGTGAGAAATAATTTTGCACAAATGCAGCTGTATTTCACATTTAGACGCCATAGTTTCTTGTGGCATAGTGGTAGAGCGTTTGACTATGGAACAGTGAGACCCGGGTTCGATCCCGAGTTGTACCCGGGGCATGTCTGGGCATCGCCCCGACGCTGAGCCCTTGGAAAAGGCACTTTACACGACTTTCCTCGCTCCGCCCAGGTGTGAATGGGTACCTAACTTCGGTTGGGGAAAGTCGTATTGAGGTCACCTGGTGGCGCCGAATGGCAGCCGCATAGACCATTGCGCCAGTTCCAATGTGTGGAGCAAATATATGTGGATTAAATATGTGTATCATGTCTATTATTTGATTATTAATTGATAATTGTTATTGTAAACGCATTGTTTACATCAATTCAGCCGTATAAAGGCTGCGACTGGACGGGTACTGTTTGACCAATAAACCATGACCAGACCTACCGTCCAGCCGCCTCCGTCCGTGTCCATATCACAGTAGACCAGGAAGCCGCCCAGGTTGTCCCGCGGATAAACCATGTACACGCCGCTGGGCGTGGTCTCGTCATTGTCAAGGATGTCCTGACAGTCTTGGGGCTTGTCGGAGTCTGTGTCGTTGGCTGAGGTACACGATGTAGTGTACAGTCATCATAATATATTGACGCGTTGTACATCTTAAAACGTTGCAAATGTTAGATCGCTTCTCAGCAGAGTATACTAATTTGACAACACTAACATGATATACTACGATTGAGCACAGGACAGTGTGTTAATAACGGTCGTGTTTTAACCAGCGTATGGGTGTTTTTGGGTGTCAGAAGCTTCATAAGTCTTTCAAAAATGGAAATATAACTTTGGAATGAAGCTACAACAAAGGGAAAAAAACTGTCCACCAATAAGCAAGAAACAGTGTCTCAGAAGGTTATGAGTTACAAAATTTTGTGGGGAGAAAACCAAACCCCTACTGTGGTCTGGTTTGGGGACTCAATGCGCGGTTTGCGCCGCAGAAAGTTGCCCTCCTGTACCCGACCCCTACACTCACAGTGAAAAAATCCTGGTGAGAACCTTGTAACCTCCAGTAGGTCTGGCAGAGGTTTTGAAGAAATCGACATTTTAGAAAAACAAAAACAAGATAACTTGCCTTGAGAGCCTGCCGTCCTTGTCTGGGAAAGTTGCTTCACGGCGATCTTGAGTTTCTCCAGCTCTGCTCGGAGTGCGTCATCATTCCCACAATTCACCACAGGATTCATGACCAGATTACACACACACTTCTCGTCTGACGGTGGCCTGTAGACCGACTGGGCAGAGCACAGGTACACACACGTCACAAGGAACGTGAGGACACCGGGAAAAGACGACGCCATGGCGGTTAGAACTTACTCGCGACTGACGAAAACACACACAGACTAGTCCACAAGGAAGTCTTAAGCCACGACTTGAGGCGTCATTCTACACTATTGTTTTCACCTCTCCGTGGCGTATACATTTCACTGGCTGTTGTGTTGTCCACATACACGGCAGGGGTGACTTTACCGTTGGACAATTAGAAGTGGACCACACAAAAGGAAACAGCCCTGATAACATTTCAATACCACGAAATTCAACGGCATTAATAGTACACAGACTCGGCAAGAAGCAAGTCTCAATTTTTATGACATGAACACCGACATGTCTTTTTTGTATATTGAATTGGTTAAGGCAACCTTTTATAGCATACATTTAATAATGTTTCAAAAACGATATTTAAAACTGTTGCCTGTGTTTCCCCTCGTTTGCCGAAAGGGTTCGGGCTAGAGCGAAGAAGAAGACAGAAGAAATTTGCATATGACCTCTAACCTATTCCGATACAGAAAAGGGCTGCGCGCAACGCAGGTCTGCTTGCTGCTGGGCCGTGACACAGACTCCCCGCTGAGTGTCGCGACGCACCTCCTGGATGTACCACGGGAAAATTGACGCGGGGCGCCGCGCGACGGTGGCGGACCTGTTTACACGCAAAATAATCTGTCGCACGCCATGCGTCGTATGACGCAGGAGAAATTATATATTTGTCCTGTGTAAATTGGGCCTAAGTCTCATTTCTGACAAGAGAATGTCATTCTAATACTACTTTATCGATTGCTTACAGATTCCGAACAGTGTTCAGTACCCGCTGGGCGACGGTAGGCACGGCTGGAAGGTAGTCATCAGACAGGTGTCAGCTGCAAACCATAGCGGGAGACTTCAGTGTGAGGAGAGACCCGGGAAGACTGAGTACATCAACCTTCACATCATCGGTAAGTAGGGTCGGGTTCGCTAACACATAGAGCACATGTTACAGTGTGGCAAAAGCTGGTGTCAAAGCGATCTCGCCTTTAGCGGGAGACCGCTAGCAATTTCGGCCCCTCTCCGTAAATTGACGTAGTTTCCCGAATAAAACTAAACATGTACTATGATAAGAAATTTTGAACACATCTGTGTAAGCTTAGATATGCTAAAACGGACGTTTTCGAGTTTTTTTTTGGGGGGGGGGGTGTCGT